AGGAAGTTAAGGGTTACTTCTTACTAATACTATTGTCTACAATCTTTTCAAGCCAACTAAGTTGTGAGTTGACATGTATATTTCTACCCCAAACTTTTCGGTATATTCTAATCAAGTGGACTTTAGTTACCTGCCCGTTAGGTATCCAACCGCAGAGGCAGCATAACAAGCCTACAAAGAAAGGGCAGCAGGACTGAATGAGACATAGAGGACTCTGGTATAAATACAAAAAAATCTAATTACTAAAGGATGAGAATTTGTGCAAACAGAGGTAGCTCTGTCCCGACCCAGCCCACATCTTCTTTTAAATAATCACTCAGAGGCTTAATATTAACTGTAAAATGTTTGACTGAATAGCTCAGGCTTAATTACTAACTAGTTCTTACAATTAAATTAACCCATTTCTATTAATCTATATATTGAGACGTTACCGTGGCTTTTACAGGTATGCTGGCATTTTGTTTCTTGGGCAGCATCTCTCCTGACTCAGCTCTCTCCCTGTATTCAATTTGGCTTCCCTACCTAGCTATATTCTGCCTTGCTATAGGCCAAAGTAGCTTTTATTATCAACCAGTGAGAGCAACATATATTCACAGCATACAAAAGGGTTATCACAGAGTAAATTTGAGCTGGTCATGGTGGTGCATGCCTTTAATCCCAGCACTCAGGAGATAGAGACAGGCAGATCTCTGAGTTTGAGGCCAGCCTGTTCTACAGAGTGCATTCCAGGACAGTTAGGGCCACACAGAGAAACTCTGTCGCAAAAACACAACGAAACAAAAATAGTTGAGAGTTTACATAGGAAAGGAAAGGAAGAACTGGAATACTACTCATTTTTATGAGATGTGATAACCATACATTTTAAGGAATGGCTTAAGTATCTAAGTTTTATTTTTTCAAGGAACGTTTCACTACTATTTGTTATTATATTATCATCTTTAGAATCTTATCAATCATTTATGTCTGGCACTCCACTTATGAAGGGTTAGTTGATTTGTTCAGAGTCTGGTCTCATTACCTCAGGCTAGCTTTGAATTTGTTGTGTAGTTCATGGTGATTAGCCTTCCAAGTCCTGGAATTTTTAAGGTTTTAGTTTTTCTGTATTGTTTCCTACTTCACTAGTCTCTGCTTAGGCATCAATTACTTAACTTCTTCCCTTGAGTTAGATCTGATTTTCCTCTCCTAGTGTCTTGAGAAATAAGTGGACAGCACTGGTTTTAAACTTTACTAACAGATTCCCCTCAACTACTTAGGGTAAAATATCTTAGCTACATATTATGAATTATATTTGATGTTCATCTTTTCAAATTGATTAAAATATTTTCTATTTGCCACTGTGATTTCTTCAACTCATCTTTAAATTGGGGTTTGTAGCAAGGTCTGTATTTCTATCCCTCACACTGGTGATTTGTGTTTTCCCTTTCATTGTTTATTGTGTTTCCCTTTTATGAGTTTTCAGATAGGTATATGAGGCAGTGAGTGTGTTGCTTCTTTTTTTTTTCTTTTTAATTTATTTAACTTTATTTTGTGTGCATTTGTGTGAAGGTGTCAGATCCCTGGAACCAGAGTTACAAATAGTTATGAGTTGCCACATGGGTGCTGGGAATTGAACCTGGGTTCTGTGGAAGAGCAGCCAGTGCTCTTAACCACTGAGCCATCTCTCCAGCCCTGTGCTGCTTCATTTTAAATGTGATTTTTCACTTATCCTTCTGTTACTGAGTTTGCTTCCACATGGTTGTTACACATTATTTACTGTATGTTTTCAATTTTTAGCAAGCAATCTGTTGCAATTTTCTTTAAGGCCAACATGGTTTTCTATCTGTTTGTTTTGAGACATGATCCCACTGTGGTCCAGGCTGGCCTTGAATGCAAGGTAAGCCCCACAAATCTGTGAGCTCCAGGAACCAGCTAGGAGTTACTACGTTTGGCCACTTTTCACTCAACTGTACTTCATTCAGTGTATAAGGAAGATGAGGAATACAAAGTTAAATCAAATACAAGATGCCCAGGAAAAATGCTGAGTGCATTTTAAAATTATTCTTTGTCTAGGACATTATAGTGTTACTTATCTCTTTTTTTCTTTGGTTCTTCAAGACAGTATTTCTCTGTGTAGCCCTGGCTGTCCTGGAACTAGTTCTGTAGATCATGCTGGCCTTGAACTCACAGAGATCTGCCAGCTTCCACCTCCCAAGTGCTGGGATTACAGGTGTGCACCACTGGGATTACAGGTGTGCACCACCAACGCAGGCTAGTAAAAGTCTGGAGTCCAAGTGTTCTGATTCTGACCCCAGTTCCCTTCCATTCTACTGTTGATTTTGACAAGTTTCTCGGCACACTTGCTTCTTCATCTATAAGATGAATGCAGTTCACAGCACTAATAGGAGGATGAATCAGGGCTCTCAGACATGTAAAGCGCTGAGAATCAGCTTCCTGACAATCTGTCCGCTTTCTGGCCACATGATCAATGTCTCAACTACTCTAAGGAGCTGATGAATGATAATCAAGCAGTACCCAGGTATATCTTTCTCTTTAGCACAAACATGCTCTTGAATCCTGAGCCCTCTTGCATATTCCCTTCATTAAACCCACCATCTTCCCTTCTAGATTGTTCCTCCTCTCTCTATTCTTAACCTCAGTCAGTAGAATTATCATTTGTAGTCTGAGTCCCTAACCTAGCACTCACCTCCTTCCTAATAGGTAATGCCTACTCTTTCCTCAAGATAGCTCTGGCATTATCTTCTGTGGGATGCTTTCTCTGAAGACTGTATTTGTCTGTCTATGTAATTCTTTTGTTGTTGCACTAGGGAAATCCAGAGCACCAGGCATGTTAGGCAAGCACTCTACCACTGAAAGATAAAACAAGCTGTCCAAATCTCAGTTCACTGGGTTGGCTCCAAACCTGTGATTTGTTTCACTCGAGTAGATAGAGATTACAGTTGTAAGCCATAGACTTTCCATAAGCATCCTTTGGCCTACCTGTCCACTCTTACGGCCTGCTGTGCCTTTAAGCTATACTGATACAGCATGCAACAAACATTACTTCCATGAGCAATCTTTCCTGTCCTATCAGAGAACCAGCCACATACTCTGCAGCTACTATCTCTTCATGGATTCCTTTTGTGAGGACCATTATTCTAGATTACCTTTTTTTGTCATGCCCCCACTTTTCCCAGTTGATCAACTTGTAGTTGAAAAGTAAACCTTATTTCTTCTTTATATCCCTTTCTGCCACTGCTTATGCAACACCTACCAAGCATATAGTACATACTCAGCACATGTCTAATGCAAGAAAAAGAAAGCAGTGGCAATCATACTTCCCCTAGAAAAACAGTAAAATGTAGATCAGCAGCTATACTTTCTCACGCAGGTAAAAAAAATACAAAGTTGTTCCAAGTAAGAAAACGGAAAGGTAAGTGTACACAGCTCAGTGGCAGGGTGCTTGTTTAGTATGCACAAGGTCCTAGGTTCAATTCCTAGCACTGAAGAAAGGTGGGGGGGCAAAAGAGTAAGCAACCCAAATTCAATATCTACCAGTTTTCAGACTGAAAACACTCCCTATAAATTCCAAACCTTGTTGATAAACATTTTTCAATTAGTAAATAATGTAGAAGTTATCTATATTATACAAACGCCTCAATCAAACCAAGCACCATGGAGATAGGAAAATGAACCCTAACGCCTGCTGCACTGGAGCTCACATTTGAGGGCAGAGAAAATGAGGCAAGAGGGGGCAAGAGGGTAGATCAAAGGGCAACAGTGGAAGAGAAAACAGGACTCTGCCTCAGCTGGACAGACAATGTTTCAAAATAGTACTCTTTTCTAAGATTTACTTTGTGTGTGTGTGTGTGTGTGTGGTCAGACGACAATGTGAATGGATTATCTCCTTCCTTCTTCCACGTAGGTCCTGGCCACTGAACTCAGATCATCATTCAACCCCTCCATCCACAGCAGATTCTTGCCAGTGTTGCTGAGAGAGGGTAAGACTGGGCAGCCAGGGGAAACAATGTAAGTGGGATCACAAAATGTCTACTTTGCTTTTCCCGCTTCCAGATTAAACCCGGGTTCCCGTAAGAGCTTTACTGTCGTTAAGGTCTTTCAGCTTACCCCACGCCTGTTATGCAGCATGAGTCCTAGCCTTCAATCATCCATCCTGGAGATGCTCTCTGAGCCCTTGTCATGTATAGAAATCACACCAGATACTGACAATACACATATGCAGCGATGAAGCAACATAGCTAGAACTTACAGCCTGATAGTGGCCACGGACCATCCCTTCCAGTTCTGACGTCTGAGCACAGACCCAAACTCAGAATATCTGAGTTTCAATGCCACTACCAAATGACTCATATTGGGCAAGTTTGACTTAATCTCTCTGCATCGCACTTTCCTGTCAAGTAGGAACAGTGTGGTATGTGCAATGCTTTAAAGGTGATGTGGGGGGACGCCATGTGCAGTGAATAATTGCCATTCGGCCATGTCCACACTCACCGCTTGCTCATTCCTCATCCCGATGTACCTGATGCCCAATTCCTGTGCAGCAAGGGCGATTTCGGTCACGGGGATGCCTACGACTCCGAACATGTATTCCACATTCTGGGGGGGAGGGGGGGACAGAGGAATAAACGCAGATCACCAGAAAGGCCAACAGGACCCCCCCCCCGCCCCGCCCTCCTCCGTCTCTATGACAACGCGTTCTCTCTCTCTCTCTCTCTCTCTCTCTCTCTCTCTTCCCCTCCCTCTCTCTCTCCTCTCCCTGACGATCCACCATACTTGCGTTTTCAGGGCCTGGGCGATGACTTTAGCACCAGACACCTGCTCCTCGCTTCTATCGCTACCCTCTCCCGAGTTACTTCCCGGCATCTTCCACCTAAAGTTACTTCAAGGCACTCTGGCGGCCCACAGCCTCACTATCCAGACAGAGTTGGCCGCACGCTACTGGTGACCGACAGGAGAACAGCCAACCGCTTTTAGCCAAGAGAAGGGGCGGGACTAGGAGTCAGTCCTCCGTGAGGCGATAACATGAGCACGCCCATTCTCCATTCAGCCTTTGCCCGGCTCTGCCGTCAGCGGAGGCGGGATGAACCGGAGACCGCGGCCTATGCCGAGCAGGTAAGAAACCCAACCTCCGAGTTGGCCCGCCATGGTTTCCGTCTCCACCGGGGCAGCGACGGGGCTCAGTCCCGCGCAGGCGGGTAACACCCGTGCACCTCGAGGGTGAAGGCTGAAGCCGACCACGTGGGGGAGGGGCGTGGCTCCGGCGCGCACCTCCGCCCCCGCCCCCGCCGGGGCTTCTTGCCGACGGGAGCAAGCCGCGCGGAGGCTGCTGGGACGCGGCTAGCTTGGAGCGAGTGGAAAGTTGAGGAAAATGACCCATGGGTCGTGCTGTCATGCTTCGGCACCCTCTGATTTCATAACTGTGGTTTTTGCACGCCACAGAATGTGCACGTTACTTAGGTCTGTGCTCAAAGGTGTACTTTTTTTTTTTTTTATCATAGATGACACCCAGCTTGTTTGTCGAAAGATAAACTTGTCCAGAACATCCTTCACACCGCAACTGCCCGTGCCCTCTGCCTGGTTTTTATTTATTTTTGTTTCTGTGGAGTGTCACTAAGTTAATAATGTTGGTTGCTCTCGACTTACGGGTTCAAGGCGAAGCCTGCTGTCTATACAGCCAATGGATTCCTTTCTCAAAACAATCACTACCAGAACTCTGTATGAAGTGCACACTTAACTCTGATTAGAACAAATCACTGTAATTCAGATTAAGTGCGTTTTTTTATATAAAAGAATTAGTCAGCCGGGCGATAGTGGCGCACGCCTTTAATCCCAGCACTCGGGAGGCAGAGGCAGGCTGATCTCTGTGAGTTCGAGACCAACCTGGTCTACAAGAGCTAGTTCCAGGACAGGCTCCAAAACCACAGAGAAACCCTGTCTCGAAAAACCAAAAAAAAAAAAAAAAAAAAAAAGAATTAGTCTCCAACTGGCCATATTTTGCCATTTAGCCAAGTGAAAAACCATTGAGCTGGTTCTTGTCTTCACCTGCAGTGCATGGTACACCATTTCACGCTTCCCTCGTTGCCTGTTGTGATTGAGCAGAAGCGATGTGAACACTGACTGGAAGGCCAAGAGTCACTCCAGTTGCATCCCACTGCACCATAGTAACCCCAGGATCTGTAATTTACACAAAGCACTCTGTGCAGGCATTGCACACATTAATCATTGCACACATTAATCATGTTGGCAGTGTGCTTGAGATTTTATTTGTTGAATTTTGCCCTGGTTGAGTCAGACGTGGTGGTGTGTGCCTTTAAAGCCCAGCACTTGGGAAGCAGAGGCAGGTGGATTTCTGTGAATGAGAGCCTAGCTACTCTACCTAGTGTGTTCCAGGACATCAGGGCTATGTAGAGAGATCCCTGTCTGAAATGACAAAACAAAAATAAAGAGGAAGGAAGAAAAAAATCTGGCATTTTAAAAATAATTTATTTAACTTTATTTTATGTGCATTGGTGTGAAGGTATCAGATCCCCTGGAACTGGAATCACAGACAGTTGTGAGCTGCCATGTGAGTGCGGGGAATTAAACCCAGGTCCTGTGAAAGAGCAGCCAGTGATCTTAATCACTGAGCCATCTCTTCAGCTCCTTGGCATTGTTTTTAAGTTTACTTGTTGCTCAAAGGAAGAATAAGCTTTTTGTTTTGTTTTTGTTTTTTCGAGACAGGTTTTCTCCATAGCTTTGATTCTCCTGGAACTTGCTTTGTAGACCAGGCTGGCCTTGAACTCAGATCCGCCTGTCTCTGCCTCCCAAGTGCTGGGATTGAAGGCACCACTGCCCCGCTGGAAGAATAAATCTTTAAAAAATGTGCTAGGGATCGAACTTAGGACCTTGTGTGTATCAGGCAAGCACTCTACCACTGAGCTGTATCACCAGCTCTAAATTTTAACTTTCTTAAAAACAGAAGGCTAGGGGTTTGGAGAGATTGCTCAGTGGTTAAGAGCAGCGGCGACGCTCCACACGGCCTGAGTTTGATCTTCAGCACCCACATGGTGTCTCACAGCCCTCTATAACTCCAGTTCCAGGGAAACAGATGGCCTCTTCTGGCCTCTGAGGGCACCAAGCACACACATAGAACACGACACGCGTGCAGGCAAAACACTCGTACACATGAAATAAAATAACAATAATAATAAAAAGCAAAAGAAAAGGCAGTGTTGGTAACAAAACTTTCCAAAGGGCAGAACCAATCATCAGAATCTAAATAGTGATTATTTTAATGATCTAGATTTGAGATTATGAGGAGTGACTTGGCAACTTTCCTCCAAGTGGGTGAAGATAATATCTAGGTACCTGGGAGAAGCAGGGAGAGCTGTAGGTAGGGTGTGGTGAGGCATGCCTCCAATACCTGTACTCAGGAGGCTAAGGCAGGAGGATCCCAAGGTGAAGGCCAGCCTGGGCTAGAGTGTCCCTGACCCAAAAATAAGTGATTAAAAAGAAAGTCGCAATATTATGCCCAGGAAGATTAACTTTCAGAAGAAGGCAACTTCTATAGGCAGTAATTCCATGGCCCCAGATTGTGATGTTATCTCTGTCGGTTCATACGAACACTAGGAATCCTTACAACCCTAGCTGAACCTGTGACAAATAGGTCATACCTTACCAAAAAGTGGTGCTTGGTTACCAAACAAAGAAGGAATTAGGATTATTTGTTAGTCCACCTTCATTTTGTTGTCGTGACAAACACCTGACCCAAAGCACATTCAGGGAGGAGAAGGAGTCATAGTCCATTTTTCAGAGAGGTTGTCAGATCAGAACTCAAGGCAGGGACCATGGAGGAACCTACTCGCTGGTTCACTCTGTGGCTTACTCCCTGCCTGGTGCTTACTGAGCTTTTTCAGATAGCCCTGGACCCCCTGCCCTATGAGCTGGGCCCTCCTGCCTTGATTAATGTCCATCTTGATTCGTCCCTCACAGATGTGCCCGCAGACTGGCAGCTACTTTATGCAGACACATTGCTCAGTTGACTCCAGGCTGTTTCAGGTTGACGATCGATGATAACTAGGAAATTTGTAACATATTATAGAAGGGCTAAAAAAATCAAAGTGGCTGACAATCAAAACGGAAACTGAGTCCATATCTTCTGCTTTTCTGGTATGGGGATTGAACCCAGGGCCTTGGGCTTGCTAGGCAGCTCCTACACCTGCTGGGCCTGGGAATCGAGCATATGTTAAAGAGCAGAAGCAGCTTTACTCCACCCCACGTGGGTACTTCTAACTAGTTAGGGCCACAAGCAGGGGGATCCGTGTTGTGACCCTGAGCAGGGGGAGTTGGTCCTTTTTGAAGCAAAAGCTGCAAGTTGGGGGCAGGGTTGGGGTGATATAAGAAAAAGAATCTTTACAATTTGAGGTTAAGCTCTGGGTGACAATTTGGGTACATTCTGGGAATTTACTTGTGATAACGTTTTATAATTAGTAGTACAATTTGTGATAACAAGGTATTTGTACAAACTTAACGGGGTTTGTGGACACTTGCTTACACAAGTCTGTGGCTATCTTAACACAACGGAGAGCTTAATTTTTAACCAACTGTTCCCCCATGACTGAGAATATAGGACAGCGGTCAAGCAATAGAAGAAGCTGGGTAGGTGGGTTAATAATGTTCAGACGTACTCTGAGGTCTTCGTACCACTAAGCCCTGTTTTTACTCTTTTTTTTTTTTTTAAGACAAGGTTTCTCTGTAGCTTTGGTGTCTGTCCTGGAACTAGCTCTTGTAGACCAGGCTGGTCTTGAACTCACAGAGATCCGCCTGCTTCTGCCTCTGGGATTAAAGGCGTGTGCCACCACCGCCCGGCCTGTTTTCACTTTTTACGTTAATACAGGGTTTCACTAAGTTGTCCCGGTCGGCCTTGAACTTTGGGTCTTCTTGGCTCAGTCTTCTGAGTAGCTAAGAGCACACAGCTATACCACCTGCGAGTAAAAAGCCAGGAACAAAAATGAAAAGGAAATCTATATAGAGCACTATTTTTACAAACAACCCTTAAACTACACTGCAGGAAATGCGCTGTAGAAAACATCAACAGAGACAGAACAGGCATCAAATAAGGGGTAAAATGGTTGCTCGAGTGTAACAGGCTAAGTTGATTCTGTTTGCTTCTCATTAAATTTATCACCTTTATAGTAGCAAAGCTGAGAAACAAGCTTGAAGCAAAACTGCCCATGGAGACAACTTTAGACGCTGGAGCCGTCAGGGACAGCTTAGTAATAACTCAATAATATGCCCGTTTTGTTGAAAGGCACTAAGCACTTTCCCCTGGTATCCTCTGACCTAGAGAAAGCTTGGATTCCTGCCTCTGGCCTGAACTTTGCCTAGCAGTTTAATGCAGCCATGACCTAGCACTGAAGCCGGGAGCACTATGGAAAGAAAACAGAAAGAATGTGGTTCTCGTGCTTTGTCCATTCTGGGTTTGTTTTGTTCTTCTTTTCTTTTTAAAGTAAATTTGAAAGAGTTTCACATTAGCAATAACCACCGCAATGATATGTGTACTATGAAGACATAATGGCTCAGCATGTAGTGTTTCTCCTTGGAACAGAACTGCAAAGTCCCCAGGGTTGAACTAAGGACATTTTCATAAGGGAAGACTTAATATCATAAACTGGTTTCATCATCATAACCTTTGAGCCCTTTCTTGGGGCTTATCAGCAACTCATTGTTTTCTTATAGTTAATATTTATGGCATCTTTCAGACCCATGAAAGGATCAGAAGTTACTACAAAGCTACAAGCCAGCTTCTAGCTCAGGAAAGCCACACAGTGGGCCGGCCTCCTGTGTCCCGCCCTGACTGCATCTCCTTTCCCATCCCATAGAGGGAGCCATTACTTTGAACTTTATGTTTATAATACCTTCATGATCCATTTTTAGGGTGTCTTAATCTATTTCTGTTGTTGTAAAAGAGTACATGACACTAGGCATTGCCTATTGTTCTGTGGTGCAGGGGAAGCGATTGTTCCACCTCCATCCCTGACTCTTCCCCTGCTTTTTATGTTGAGGTAGGGTCTGTGAGTTGCCTAGCCTGGTCTTGAACTCACTCTGGAAGGCCTTGAACTGGTGAGCCTTAG